GGGGGTAGATTTTTGTTGTTATTGTTGATAGGCACAATTTGGATTATAGATTATAAACACAAGGTAATAAGACCAAATAAATAAATAATGTGTTACCCTCATTAGCTCAGTTGGCAGAGCGGAGGACTGTAGGTGTTTCAACGGGTGATCCTTAGGTTGCTGGTTCAAATCCGGCTCAAGAGATTTTTTTTTGCACACTATTTATTTGGATTTGGTCTTATTACCTATGTTGATATTGTTTGTTTTTCATTGTTGTTATTCCATTTTCAAGACTGTATGTAGTAACACCACAGCTGCTTGACAATGGTATTAAAGAAATGACTGTGTTGCAGCCTCCACAATTTGGATGGTCCTTACAGCTCCTCAGCTGGGAGCTCCACTTCTGGTCTTCCTGCTTCCATCAAACAGGGATCCTCTGTCGTCTAGTCTCAGCCTTCTTCTTCTTGGCTCCTCCTCCTTTCTTTACCTTCTTTCCAGGTTGATTGATAACACTCTCTCTTAAATGATATTTCCCCCTCCTCTACTCCTCCACACAAAAAAAAAAAAAACAAAATTTTATATATTCATTACCTAATTTCTCTTTTTAAATATTTATATAAAAAGTTATTTATTTTTTTATTATTGTATTCCCCTCCCCCCTTTTTTTTAAAAAAAGGTATAGATATATATTATGTGAATGTAATTTGTTTTTAAATAAAATTTTTACAAAAAAATAAAATAAATTTAGGTGCTCTTTTATGAACTTTGAATTTTTTTTTTTTTAATCTTCAAAAATTTTTTTGTTTGTTTGTTTTTATATATAATGAGGGTGTGACGAAATTTTATATATTGAGATTTGCAAGGGAAAAAAAAAACTTGCTTTGTATAATAAGATGACCAACTCCTTTCTGGGAGTTGTGCTAGCTATCCTGAACTAACTGTGGTATATGACTTTTTTACTATCATTCACATGTTTTTTTAGTTAAATTTTCTTAAGAAATAAATATTTTAACTATCATACAGAATAAAATTTATCCTTTAAGTACTCCTCTTTGCTTAGGAAACTGATTCATCAGATTTTTTTTTGTTAGATAAACTCTATCGCCCATTTTGTTTCGACTTTCTCTTTTAAATATAGAATTCTGCAACTTAGTATACCAAATTTTAAACTTTTTATCCGATTTTTGTTTTTTAACAAAACCTTTAGGGTATTGATTAATGGATGTTACGTAAGGTGAGAAGTACAGAATAAATGCTATAGGTACTTTTAACACATCACTGGTAATGATAAACAGTGGTTGTAAAAACTATACTTTTTTTTTTATTCAATGAACAATCATAATTTTTTTTCCCCTTCTCTATAATAAATGCTGGTGAACAATTTTAAAATTCCTAGGAAAAAAAAACCTAAAGAAATTTTTTTAATATATACCTTTTTTTTTTTTTTCGAAGATGAAAAAAAAAAATTGGTATCTTCTTCCTAGTGCTTTTTAAAAAAATATATATATTCATATTTTAATTGATTATATATATGTAATGAAAAAATTCAATGAACATGTTTAGGATATGCCTTTTTTTTATATATTGATATATATAATGTATTATTTATTTTATCTTTTTTTTGTTGTTTTATCGAAGAAAATATTCTTGCCTGGAAAAAAAAGTGTAAAAAAAAATTTTTGTCTTTTTTTTTTTTCTTCTTATTTTCAAATTTGACACAAGAGCTATTCACTTGTTTATCTTCCCCTCTCACATCACATTGTAAACAGAAACGGCTGAAAATCAGCCAGTTGAGCTTAGAATTTTTTTTTTAGGGTGCATTTGTTGTGGCGCCACAAATTTGTAATGTGTAAAAAAAAAAAGTGATGCATTTTTTGCATATACACGCTCTGTATCTCAGATTCCCTCTACTTCATTAACCCCCTCTTTTCTCAAAGCTCCCCTTTGCCCCACCTTTAAGAAAGATAAATAATTCCTTAAAAAAAAAAAAAAACCGCCCAGCAGTTTCGAAAAGTGTCTTACACATTTAAGATAAAAAATAACCATAGTAAAAAAAAGCAAAAAAAAAAAATGGAGAGAAGTAAAAAAACTATTTTCATATTGTATTTATTCTAAAATGTTGATTGATTAAAAAAAAAGCAATCACACCTTTTTTTTTTTTTTTTCATGCGAAACTTGTGAAGTAGAAAAAATTGTGACAAAAAAAAAATTTTTTTTTTTCAAGCTCTTCTCTTATCAAAATGATAATGTGTTCTCATTGCCTTGCCACTGCTCTCTTTTCTAATGTTCAAATGGCATCTGCATTTATACAAACCTAATCATTTCTCTGCATTTAAGGTCACACATTAAATAAAAACCTGTATTATTACTTAATAGGTTTTGGTTTTGTTTTTATCTAGTTTTAGTTTTGGATTGACATCAAAATACTCCCCTCCTATATCCCCCCCTCTTTTTTTTTTTTTTTAAATCTTATAATTTACATTAGGCAATGTGGCAGGCACAAGAGGATATTGTGATAAACGTTATTTATATAAATGGATGGGGTAAAGTTCTATTTATTTTTGAAATAGAACGCCCCATTTTTTCTTTTTTTAATTTTTTTTTTAAACATGTACATTTTGTCTACATATTTATATATATTCACACACACACAAACTTTTTTTTTTTAATGTAAATATATATATGTATATTGCAATAGATCATACGCAATATAAAAAGCATGATAACCCATAATTAATTTATATATTATTATTATTAGTTTTTTTTTTATTTAGTGCATTGATTTCTCTCCCCCTTTTTCTCCCTTTCTTATTAAAAAAAAAAACAAATACATCTCAACCCCCGCCACCATCTTAGTTTAAAAAAAAAAGAATAAATTGTATTATTTTATATAAATTTGAAAATGGATATATATAAAAAAAAAATTTGAAAAAAAATATATATTACTTTTTTTTTTTGTATTGTATATGTAAAAGTTGTGTGATTTTTTGTCCCTTTTTTTTCCTCTCTTTTTTCCTTCTCATACACTTATCATTGATTTTTATCTTTTTTTTCTCTCTTTCTAAAAAAAAAAAAACTTTAAAAAATTTGATTATTGTCATTCATTATATATATATATATACTTTGGTGATTATAAAATATATATTTATTATTTATTGTATCAAAGTATAAGTAAGATTATTTTCAAATTTGTTTCCTTTTCATCAACTTCTCTTTTTCTCCTCCCCCCCCCCATTTCATCCTCTTTCCCAGTTTGTATTATTCCACCAACCTCTTACAAAGTTTCTCTTAGGTTAGATTTATCCTTCCTTTCCTGTAACTTGAGTCAACATGCCGCAATAAACATTTTTATTTGATAATCTTGTGGTGATGGTTGTTGTAATCCCAATAATATAATCATTCCTTAATAAAATATTAGTCACGTAGGAAAGAATGGGAAGAAACATTTGAGTATTCGACTTATGAAAAACCAATAAGAGATATCTTCTTCTTTCTTATCTCCACTCAATCATTCATGACTGGGTGAAGTAGAATGCCTTTGTCATTAAGACTGGGAGCACTACTCAGTGGCAGGCCGACTTAGCTCCAAAAGAAATGGCCACCTCTGACATGAGGAACAGACGCCATGTGCAGCCGCTCCTAATATGGAGTACAGACTCATCCTGTATCCCTGGATTAGGAGCCCTTCAGGGTACTATCAGCCAGGCCAGCTGTACCCAGGTTTTTTAGTAAGCTTGTTACTGCTCCCCCTCCTCCTTTTTGATCCAGGCTTGGGACCGGCAAAGGTGGAGTAGGAATAAGAGATATAATTTAAAGTAACAAAATATATTTAAATATGCCGACAGGTTTCTGGAGATGAGTTTCTTTACATTTATTGCAATTTCAAGCTTTCGGGTATTTCTACAGGAGTACAACAATGAGGAAACACCATTAGACTGTTAGTATTTAACGGGGAGTTTCATTATTGTCCATTGTGGAACTCAAGGGGGGTAATACCCAAAAGCTTGAGATTACAATAAAAATGTAAAGAAACTCAACTTCAGAAACCTTATTTAATTCATGTACAGGAGATTCACATCTATTGTATTGAAAAAATATTCCATTGAATTATTAATTATCAATATATCTGTTTCAGTATAAGTACCTAATTATAACAATAACTTTTATACAACATATTAATTAAACAACAGCAAGCTTTATTAAGATAATATATATATATAATAAGATGTCTTATACAGATTCTCTGAGCAGAAATTTATACATCTTAAAGTTATTGTTATTGTCCATCAAGTCGAGTTTTGGTGACTATGGATAAATTTTCTCCAATGTTATGTGTGTTATAGATACCCAGTTTTAATTCCCATTGTTTGAATTGTTGATTATAAAACTTGAAATCTCTTAGGACACATGATACTATCTTGTATACTGATAAGGCACAGTTTGGATTATTCTATATACAGTTACGAGCGTCATGCGTCATCTCTGTCACCGTTTGCTTTTTCTTTGGAATGGCGCTCTCCTATTGGTTGGCTACGATCACGTGGCTATGATGGCGCCGCCACTACGCGAGACACTTTGTTTTTGACTTTGCCCCCCCCCCCCACTCGCTTTTTGGTTTTTGTAACTATTGTGTTAGAGCGCGTCGCTCCTTAAATAAATGCATATATTAGTTAATAACCAAATGGAATCCTCTCTTTCTTTTTCCCAGTAAGAGACGCCTACGGAAGCCAACAGTACATAGACAGATAAAGCACATAGACTATAGTTATTAACCAATATATGCATTTATATAAGGCGCCAATTTATAATTGTAACAAATAGTATTTGAATCAAAACATTCAAACGGGTAAAACACGGGCGTTGCCCGGGTCATTCGGCTAGTAGATTATAAATACAAGGTAATAAGACTAAATCCAAATGAATAAATTTATTTGTACTTGGTCTTATTACCTTGTGTTTATCTTGTATACTGTGTGTTGAGGAATTCCCTCCTAATTGTTTGACTGTTCCCGCTTTTTTTTTTCAATACCCACATAATGTTTTGAAATATCCTTTAATATTGAATATAAGTTCTGGCCAAATAACATCCTTTTTTAATGAAACATTATTTTTGTAAATAAATTCAAATATATTTATCTATATATAGTTAAACCTGTATAGCGCCCGATTTTAAATACGTAGTACAATGCGATTTACATTAAAAG